TCGAGCTTACACGCTGAACTGTCATGGTTCAACTCCCAACGGGGGTGTTGCTAAGAGCTATGCGAGATCGAGACTGCAGTCCACGGGTGCCTGGATGAGAACAACTTTTGCGCAAATTCAGCTACCACTCCTACATCACCTTAAACGCAATGGGGTGAATATATCACATGTTGCCCACATAACTTCCTTTGGTTAAGTGGTATTTGCTATTAAAATCGACGACATCACTTATTTTTGACCATAGACAGATTTCGTGAATATGACTGGATCTTGTATAAAAACTGTATTCACTCTATTTTCTTGTTCCCATTTTAGTTTAAGGTGATGAGGGATGGTAGCTGAATTTCTCACAATGCCATTAGTAGAGCCGACGTTTCCATTGAATATCACATAGACTTACTTTCCCAAAAGGTGTTATCATCCAGACACCAGTGGTCTTATCAATACCATCAGCGGGAGTCGAACCATGACAGTGCAGCGTGCGTTCTCGACGCAGCTGCCGTTATGCCACATTGCTACGCAGGCCCTGGGCGACGTTGACTCTATTCACTCTATTTCCTTTTAGCTGATGAAGGAATTATAGTTGAAATTTCCAACAATGATATGAATTCGCTTCACGTTTTGATCGAATTTTCCATATTTTATTTCCCTAGGCACTTTCTGCATTTAACTCTATTAATCAAAGTTTTAAAACTCAATGCCCAACATTATTGTCCCGGATGTACCATTTTTCTGTATTTCCATGCCTACCTTGACCAACGAATTCCAAGCACGTTTAAAAGAGTAGTCAAACCTAATAGATTCCTAGTGAGACTAAATTTTATCTCGAGGTATAATTTCTATGAAGTCATCTGATGTCAGTACTTCTATTCTAAACTGGTGTAAAGAAAGGTAAGAAACAATCTCAGCATGATTGATGGTCCTTAAAACAAGAGGTTTTAAATGTTGGTGAAGTGTCGAATTTCTAGAGAGATTTTTAAACAGACTCCCAAATTGACTCAGAATATGGTCTTGCAATTCTATATATTTCTGCCATGTTTATCAATATATGAACATTTAATTAAATGTTTATTTGCTCTATTACCAGATATTTCGGAGACAGCTCCCTTCTGCGCTGAGTTTTCCGATGGGATATATGAACAGCTGTTGTGTCCTCTCGATCCTGAGCTCTGCAGACTTTCTGAAGCTGAGCTGGCCCACTTGAAATGTTATGAGGACGACGTTATTACCGGCCTTTTAGACCAAAATTTTCCACTCCCATACCAAATCGAATGTGTCTTGCAGTCAGTGCGCGCACACGTTGCCGGGGGTCATCGATGCCTATCTTATGGTAGTGCAGAAGATTCATGCCCAGAATTAATAAAAAAAGATGGAAATTATAAAATCGTGTATAATCCGACGAGAACCACGTTAGATGCAAGTCCCTACGTGACATACACTCCTCAGTGTTTGAGTTCAGTACAACGTTGTTTTATAGTTACTGAAATGTGGCAATCGATACACATACTTACTAGGGTTGCTATCCAGTCGTTGCCAGATGTTGGCACTCATTCAGCAGTTCCCAATATCAATTCTAATGATAGTGGAGATGTTTGGAGAAGGTTTTGAAGGAGGCGAAATGATGTGCGACTAATTTTTAACAAAGACAAAAATAAAATCACCTTACAGAAAGGCTTTCCATCACAAGCATTTCAAATGATAATCTGTAAGTCTGGTATTCTGTACGAACAGCATACAGTCTACCATTTCGCCTGTCTGTCTGCCTTTCTCCTGGCCAGCCAGGGGAAAATCCCTTGTCTGACCGGATATTGGCTATCAGTCACATTCCTTGTTGCCTATTGGTTCGGCCGTCGGAGACACGAGGCAACAGAAAGACTCAACAGAACACCTCTGCCTGGCACTT